ATCAAATACACATTCTTTCAGACCCGAAGCGATAACAATCGACTATCTTCAAGCCACCAACTCAAAGCTTTTGTGTTTGACGACCTGGGAATGAGACTTTGTATAAGTTACAGCAGCTTTAAGTGGAGGTTGTTGTATTTTACTTGAATATTTCCATTTTATGCCACTTTATACTTTTTACTCCACTCCTCTACATTTATTTGACAGCTGTGGTTACTTTACAAATGTACATAAAAGAGGTAATAGAAAGCTTAAGAAAAAGGTTCCTAACCTGTTTGACTCCTAACTGTGTCCCCATATAAAAAAGAAGTGTTTAGTTGGGACCCTTGTTATGTGTTATGATGTCTATGAGCTGAAATTGTTAAGTATTTGACAAAAAAAGCAAGGTTTAGGGAGAATTTTTCAAAAAATAATAGTAATTTGTGCATCAGAACAAGTGGACTAAATAACCAAACTGTATATAAGGTAATTAAAACAAACTCCACCTCGAGTGGCTGCAACAGTTAAAAGCTACACATGTATTCATGTATCAGTGCTACAAATGTTATAATCTGATATATAATAACATCTCAGTCACAGTGATGATACATCAGTGCTTTTACTTAATTAAGATTTTGAATAAAGTATTAGGACATGTCTGTTGTTGTGGTACTTTTAAGTCACTACAAGAGGACTTCCTCCATCACCACCAGCACTGACATATCATCACCTTTTAAAGCTTGAATGTTGAACTTATTAGCAAACTGTTGCTTATTTACACATCTGGAAGTTACAGAGAGAGATTATTATTCACTTGGAGTGAAGTTAATGACTAACTGATGAATTTAAGTCCAATATTCACTCTCTTTAAGCTCTGTTTTTGGTGTCTACCAGCTCCAGAGGGAAATATCTGTCTCTTTAGCAGCTTAATGTCTGCTGTTTGGTGCTCAGCAGGTAGTGCACAGTGGGGTTTTTTTTAGCTGAGAACAACACTATGAGAGTCCATGAAGGTGAACCAGAACTGTAAAGTTGTGGTCGGACAGACAATGAGCAGAAACTCACTGTACAGCTCTGTAAAGCCGAGCAGAGCCACACATTCAGGTGATAACTCAATCTAAGTTTCGTTATTTGATAAATACACCCACACATTTCCCACCTTTAGCCTCCGTTTGCCCTCTTTCCTTCCCAAACGCTATCACTCATGCACTACCTGTGTGTGCTTGTGCGATCACAAACCGACCCAGTCCCTGCCCAGATGTTCCTCCCTCCACGCGGACTATATACAGAGCAGTCTCTGGCACAACCCTGTGGCTCCCTTCCTCCACCAGCGCACTCAAACTAAACACAGCGCTTGATGACTTCCAGATTAGGCACATGACAAATCATGCAATCTGAAGAGTGCAGCAGAAATTCAGGCCTGGTTTCGGTGCCAGAGGCTTTTAGTTTTGCCTTTCATTTTCCTTTTTAGTGGAGAGAGTCAGAGAGGACGAGGAGAGACACTCTTGAGTTTCCTTTTACACCTGGTAGAGAACGAAGGTAATGTGTGAACAGTGGTCGGATGTAATTAAGTACATTTACTCAAGTAGAAATTTGAGGCAGTTGTATTTGAGTGTTTCCATTTTATGCTACTGACAGCTGTAGTTACTTTACTGTTCAAGATTTCATTACAATGAATTACACACTATATCCTGACAGTAGAACATGAGACAGATAATCAGGTTCCTTTGGCTCCTCCTAGAGCTCCTAATGTCATTTACCAGACCCGAACGAAAACAACCAATCAGAAAGCCGAGGGAAATTGGAAAGACACTTTGGTGTGGAGGCTTGAAGACAGTTGATTGTTGAGTCTGACCTGGGAATGAGACTCAGCAATCGACTGTCTCTCTTGGCTCTGATTGGTTGTTTTCGTTTGGGCCTGGTGGCCGTTAGGAGCTCTAGGAGGAGCCAGAGGAACCAGATTTTCCCACAGATTATCTGTCTTATGTTCTACTGTCAGGATATAGTGAAAGTTACAGCAAATATCACAAAAAATATTTTTATAAAAATGACATACTGCAGCTTCATTAAAAAACTCCAAAAAGGACACAATATAAACAGAATCTTATAATCAGTCCCCTAAAATGGGGAAATAATCATCCAAATCGCTTGTTTTACACAAACTGTACAGATTATCAGTTGTTCTCTACTGTTATTAAATATTATAGGAAATATCCATAAAACATGTCACTTAGTCTGAGGTCTAAATCACTGAATCAACTGTCCTGTTGAAGTCGAGGTAAAGAGTATAATCATACTCATATAGTCATCACTGGTTTCATCATGTATATATATGTGTGAGCCGCTTGACGTCCACAATTACACACTTCCAGCCTCATTTCCTCTAATAGCCGAGCTCAGTCTCAATCACAGACATCAAACGCAGTCAGTCAGAGTGGCTGACATTCCGAGGAAGACTCTGTCACAGCCTGGACAGACAGCTCACAGCAGGCCGGCACTGTTTTCACACACTCCTGAAAGGTATGAAAGGCTTTAATGTAAAGAAGGCCTTGAGTCTGTTATTCCTCCACTGTACCCCTTCCTGCTGGCAGTGGAGTTGGTCTGCTACCAGTTTCCTCTTTTTCCTGCTTTATTTCACACATTGTTTGAGACCAAAGGACTCGGCACTTGGCCTGCAGTCGTCTTGAAGTGTGCATGAGTGTATATATTTTATATTCCTTCTTTAACAGCTCCGTTACTGCTGCTGCTAATACGAACAGGAGAAAAATATAAACCTTGACAAGTCATTTGGTCAATTATTGGGTCATAAAAGCCTTAAAATGAGAAGTGAAAAGTGCTGCCAGTGCAGTAAGATGAAGTTTTTTTTTATTTCTACACTTTATTTTAAATGTGATTCTTTAAACAGAAGTGGAGAAAACATAAGTGTACATTGTCCAATGAGACATAGAATAAAAAATAACACAAAAAATAACATTTTATTAGGTTAAAAGGAAGATTAAACATTTGCTAAGATGATTTCAACCAGCTCCAAAGACAGAATCCTGTTCTACATAACTATTTTTAACCTATTTTTATAATGTACTATCATTAATATTACTACAAGCTTTGCTGCCAAGGTGCAAGTTTTCACATTAAAGTGGTATTAATTCATTTTTCCAACCCTAACCCTTTAGTTATTTTACAAAACATACTAAGAGCTCATAAAATATGAAGTTTTCTTTTAAATTAAACTACTCAACGCTTTCAAGTACAGCTGGAACAAATAGTCAATTAATCAATTAGTTAATTAGTTAACGGACAGTATAATATAACAGCCAGAGGGGACATACTCTTACATTGAATACTTTAAGTACATTTTCCTGATTATACTTTTACTTAAGTAACATTTTAATGACTTTAGTGACTCAATCAAATAACTTCATCCATCACTGAACATATTTATGCAGTTTTTCTGCTGTTGATTCTAAATATAATTACTGATTATTCATCTAAACAGTTTAAATCTGCATCACATTTACAGTGAATTTAATCTCATGTTCTTTGATCACTACTGACCTCATGTGGTTATTGGCTGCTGGTGCAAGCCCACTTAAAGTACCTATCAGTGTTTCTTTTTGTTCCTGCAGTTGGATGTTTGAGCTTCACTGTGCAGAGTTTGACACCAGAAGGATGTTTTCAGTTTGGAGGTCAGTCCTGGTCCAGTGTGCAACTTATACAAGTGTTATGTGTAGAAACTTGAAGCCACCAGTGCACATAGACTGAGAATGGACTGCACAGTTAAGTAGGAGACATCTTGTGTCCAGCAGGAAAACTTCAGAAATTAAAAAAAATTGCGTATTTATAGATTATTTCTGATGTTTTAGAAGAACATATAGTCTTGTTTTCACCACTTACAGTACAAATATGAGCATAAAAACACAAAAAAACATGAAAATTGTACAGAAGAAGGATTTTATTCAGTGTTAATACAATAAATATACAAAACTCAAACTACTCAACATGCGACTGAAGGTGAAACCAGAGTGCATCTTTTAATTACAGTGAAATTTAGAGCGAATAGCCGACTGTCTGTAAATCGTACAAAATATACAAACAACCCTCGACATTTCTTTCAATAATTTCATTAAATCGTTAAATTTGAATTTGATTCTCAGTGTTTCTACCACAAACCATTTTTGATTATGAAGCACAGCTCAAAGCCACAGTCCATCTACAGTACAGCACACAGTTCACGTTGCATTGCAGTCTAATGCCTCTCACATTTATTTATTTATTTTTTATAAGTCAGAAAGGAACAGCAAAAATTCTGTAGGCGCCACTCAGTCTGATTCTTTTTAAGGAATAATCTCATGTTGCTTTGTACATCAATGTACACATGCACTGGTTCAAATTAAGCCAGTGAGAAATAAGCAAAACAAGGCATATTGCAGGAAGCTTCGACAGATTCAAAATCTCCGGGAAGTCAAGAAAGATCCCAGACCCACAGCCAGACACTGCCCTGCACACAGATTAAGACTTAAAGGCCAAATGATAGTCTATTTACACTCCTACACAACACACACATACATACAAAGGCTTAACTGGCTTAAACATGAGACACAACAGACACATTCAAACCTCTGCAGCTCGCACTGAAGCAACACAAGGTCACACAGAGAAAGACACACTGTTAGCAGGTCCAGACTCGATGCATCGGATTGTGGTCTTGCTGGAGTTCAGTGATAGTCGATCCACAATTCTCAAATTAGGAATATGCAAGCAATTATCAGGAACATTACATCATCATTACTGGCCCTTTCTGCCATCTTTTTAACTCTTTTTAAGTTTTATTGCAATATATTGATTTACAGCACGTATATATATTTAAAAACAAGGGCCAGTCGGTGTCTAATTTCATACAATCTCATATAATTTTCAACCTCGTCATGCAAGAGAAGAGTACATCCTGAGTAAAACTGAGGTAAGTCTCCAGCTCGTAAGAAGAGCCGGAGACGAGTTACACTTTCCTCTTCACATCAACTGTATAAACATGCAGCTGTATATACAGAGTGGTGGAGCGCTCACTGTCCGTTAACTGATTCTTTTCTTTCTGAGGAAAGGACACGAAAGCTAGGCTTCATGTGAAAACTATGCTGAACTCAGCTGGTGTACGTGAGATGTGTGAGTTTAGTATCTGCACTAATGAGCAGGAAGGCGGTATTATAAATATCTTTTCCACTCACACCGATTAGAGTGCAGAAGGAGAATCTGATGATGAGATTTAAAGTGCAACTTGGCATAATTTCACAATGGATATGTAGACTGTTATAGGCAAAAGATTTCAAGCAAAATACTTTAAAGTGATAGTTCATCCAAAATGAAAAAAATAAGAGCCTTTGAGTATCAAACACTGCTCGAAGGCGGGAGAAATGTTTGTTAAAAGTCTGTAGTTCACAGAAAACGACAACTCTGATCAGCTTGAATTTAGTTTGTTAAAACAGATTCAAACGATACGTTTTTATATTATATGTCTATTCATATGGTCACTAATGTTACCAAAATACAGCAGTGTTTGCATTGCAGATTTTAACCGAATTTTGAGTGAATCAACAAAAGAAAATGTGAATTAATTCTTGTTTCCTTTCACAACAGTTATAGTAGGTGGCGCCAAATCTTCAGTTTAAGTGCAACCTCAAACGGTGAAAAACTATGAATAGTTGATATTTCAGTCTGGACTAAAGTGGTGGATTGACGGACAGACATTTCCATCCTTGGATCCATGCTGCTAACATGGCTAAAAATGTCAAATACTCATATCTTTCTTCCTTTTTTCCAACCAAATTGAATATATTTACCAGGCCGATTATTGGGTAATAAAACCCCTCGTTCGCTCTACAGTCTACAGGAGTTTGATACTCAACAAGTAAGACTTTGGGTGATACATCACTTTAAGGAAGAAAGACTACACACTTTCTAAAACCAAATTGAGAGGACAGCAGAAAGTAGAAGGCAAGGCAGTGAACTGGAATGCACAGCATTCATCTTCAACAATACAAAGTCCCTCCACCGGGGGGCAGCAGTGTCGGGTTGTGTACTCATGGAAACCAGCAAAACAAAGCAGAGAAGGCTGCTGCATGTGCATTAACTGATGATGATGATGATTTCCATTCGTCAGATAATAAATTAATTAAAAAAAGTAGGAATTAGCGATTACACGGAGAAATCAAAGAAAGCGCGAGACACACAGGAAGCCGGTGATGCACTGTCGATGGCGGGAAACGCCCAGGTACGTTTAGAAAGTCGGACTTGGTTCAGCTACATTAGAATCCGTCTGCAGAGGACAGACGGGCCTTTTAAAGAGGCACACTAACATTCGTTTAGTTGGCCACACACACACACACACACACACACAAACTCACACAGAAAATAAAGTCGAGTACGCTGGTTGAGTGGTAGTAGGAGTGCAGCGTGGGGTGAGGGGGCTTCAGAGTCTGTGATGAGAGTGCACAATGTTGCTGGGGGGGGAAGAGAAGGTAGAGTAGGACAGAGGCGAGCCGTGGCCCTGTTTGAATCCCAGATCGTGGGTGACTGGACCGCCGACTGTAGCGCCTTCACATGTTGTCAGAAGGCGGTCCGTGTGTTCAAACAGGGCTGCTGGCTCAAGGGGGAGTGAGCTGGATGAGCAGAGGAAGAGGGGGGAGGAGGGTTGGACGGAGAGAGAGAGGAGCTCCCGAGGCCAATCAGATCTGCTCCTTGAAGGTTCCTTGCGCAGCCCGGGTGGCGGCGGTAGCGGCGGCCGTCTGGACCGTCTTGTTGGACATGACGCCCGTGGCAAACTCCTGCTGGGCCCTCTCGAAGCTGGCGCCGGTGGTACGGTACATCGCATGGACCTGAGGAGGGTGAGGAGGGGGAGAAAAGAGATGAAATACGACTGATGAGATTTTGATAGAAGCTACTTGAACTCCTCGTGGGTTTGTTGTGCGTCTACCTTTTTGAACATGATGAGGGACATGACAGCCAGTGCGGTAAAGAGAGCAGCGATGAGGATCATTATAATGCCCACCGGGATGCTCCTGTTCAGGCCGGTCAGAGCTGAGATCCACCCGCTGGGGACGAGAAAAGGCATTAAAGGATAAAGCTGGTTTTTAAACACACACATTGTGGTTTACTTTGACTCAGTACACCGTCGTGCTGTCATCAAATTGTGGGGATGTGACATTATTGGGCGCCTGTACCTCACAAACATGTTTTATTACATCTAGAGAATAAGATTTGTAGACCAGAACTTCATCAGAACGCTGTTTTGTCACAATTTACGTTGCAGCTTCTGTGATTTGGATATTGCAATAATATTTCCTACACACGGCTGTCTCACCTGGCGCCCCAACCACTGATGCCGATGCACTGCATGACGTAGACGCCAAACTGACAGATGTACACGAAGAAGAACACGAAGAACCTGAATGAGCTGTCACTCCTGCAGAGAAAGAGAAAGAGAAAGAGAAAGAGAGAGAGAGAGAGAGAGAGAGAGAGAGAAACATGATATGAACATGAACAACACAATAGTGGAGGGTTTTATTTGCACATTCAAGGTGAATACAGTTGTGTTGTTTACCTGAATGCTCCGTAAAGCGGTCTGTACCAGCAGACGAATGAACACGGTGTGAAGAGCAAGAACCAGAGGATGGACAAACCAAAGTCCACCCCACGTGCGGAGTCCACGCAGAACCAGGCCATGCAGCCCACCATGTTAGCAAGCAGCGTCCCGGTATGAACTGGAGTAGAAAGAGGGGGAGAAGGTGTACAGTGAGTGTCTGCATGGAGCTCTTAGTGAAAGTGGGACAGCGTGGCAGCCTCGGTGTGTCACTGCGTGCGTCGGCTGGTGGAGGCCGGTGCAGCAGTGTCCAGTGTCCTGACACTGCTGCACGCTGACGCTTAATATTTCAACATGTAACACTGTGCAGCACATTTAATAATTCATTATTACCATTAGGTGTCGGGGTCCTAACAGCGCTTTGGTTAACGCAGGCGTGGTGCACTAACACGAGTCTGTAAAACGGAGGGGAGTTTACGGCGCAGTGTGAAATATAACATTAACTGGCTGACTGAGCGGGGGTTGTGCTGATGTGTGCTCAAGAGCTTTTCTACTTCAGCTTGGAAAAGAAATCCAGTTTCTTCCAACATAAAATCCAAAAATTCTTTGCTTTTATTAAACACTAATCTGTGCAAAAAAAAGAGGAGGAGGAGGAGGAGGGAGGGGCATATCTGTATCTGAGCTAACCTTTAAGCAATCATCTGACCGAGTCACTTCATCGAGCCACATGACTGCACCACACGCCCTCGTCATGTGGCCACTGAATGCCACTCGGAGCCATTCATTCCCTGAATCACAGAGGGAAAGGGTCGTTGTTTTACCGCCATCAGTCCTGAGCTGTGGGGGTTGTAGAGGGAGGGAGGGGCAGTAGGTCTTATTCAGGGGGTCAGTTGGGGGGTTATTTGTAAAAGTATCTCTCTGGTACCAAACTGTGTTATTCCCCCCTCCAGACATGTATTAAAACATACACAAATAGTGTGGTTGCAACAATAATACGAGTCTGATAAGTATAATTTCAACATTTAAATTCTTTAAAAAACCTTTCTACCTCATTAGAAATGTCAGAATCTATAAATATGCAAATTTTGTTCATTTCTAAAGTTTTCCTGCTTCTTCCTCGTTCACTGTAAAGCCCATTCTCAGTGTATGTTTCATTTACTGCATTAAATCCAATTAAAAACTCGTACAAAGACTTTTCTATGAGTTGAAAGTGTTTTATTTTGGAAGCCTACAAAGTGCGGATGGATGCAGAACATATGAGCATGCTGACTCCTTAGTGAGAGAAAAAATACTCCTAATTATTAATTATATAAACCACCAGTCATTAAAAACAAGCTTGCCTTGGAGTTGCAACACAGACTGCAGAGTTTGCCATCTGTTCCCAACAAGCTCTACAGATTAAAAACATCAGAGGGAGACAGAAAGAGGCAGGCTGGGTAAAAAAACTGAAACCTTCAGGTGGTTTCTCTCACTCTGGGTTGTTTGAAGGGGACAAGCAAATCAACATCCATATATTACTACTGCTTTAGGCAAGTAAGAAATCCCTTTAGTTTATTTAACCAATATGCAAGATTTGATCTCATAGTCCTTTTAGTAATAGTTCCAGTACGAACATCTACACCTGCTGTTAGACATAGTGAGTATAGAGCAGTGGTTATATTCAGTGCATAACAATAACTCTACAGGACAAGTGATAAACTGTACAATGAACCCAGATAGTGAACAAAATAACTGCAGGAAGTTTGTGTAAAGTCAGCAAGTTTTATGAATTTTGAGCAGATTCTTCCTGCTGAATATTGCACCAGAGATGAGTTTTGTGCTTTTTATACATTCATCTGTGTGTATATTTCATTTAATTAACAACCCTACACGGTTAATAGGCTTCTGTCTTTTCTTGGCCGTTGTTCTATCAGCTCTTTCCTAATGCAGGGCGAGGCTGTTGGCAGACTGAACGCTCTGTAAATACAGTTTGTGTTCATGTCTTCACTTTGTCCTTATCCTGTGAGAATTGTTCTGAGTTTATGTCTTTAACAATAACAGTTTCATTTAGTTTTCCTCATATGAATGAAATGCTAAGATACACACCCCTTAAAGTCAAGAAGGCCTTGTCATCAAATAAAGAAAGCTAGAGGGCTTTAAGTGTCTATCTCATCCTTGATATGTGGATCAATCAGGACTGCAAAGCTTCCAAGAGGCTCAATAGTGATTATGTTAATCGTGTAGGGCTGCAAGTAATTGTTAATTGATTTTATAGACTTAAAAATTAATCAATTCATCTGTAAAATGTACAGAAATTGTAAAAAATACCCATCATGATTTCCTAAAGTCAGAAGCTTTGTTTTGTCTGACCAACAGTCTAAAAGCTGAAGATATTCAGTTTACTCTCACACAGCTGGAACTGGAGACAGTTTGACATTTTTGCTTGAAAATGACTTAAACCATTAATAAATTATCATTTATTATTTGATGAATAGTTGTCGATTACTTAATTACTTAAATCTTTGTTGTTTGACTCTTCACTCGCCTCACCTGTGGGTGAATTCACTG